TGAATATTTTTAGCAGCCTGTTCCACTGTTAAAAACTGCACTGTGATCTTGACAAATGTATAATGTCAGCTTTAATGTATCAGACCTATCAGCTCAATGAAAATAACTCAGAAGTATTGATCACCTAATGATTTTGGGTGTATTCATTAACGTCCGTGGGCAGCTCATCCCCTCTCCAGAGCTCCTGGAGTGCTGATGACATGTTAGCAACCACTGATTGTTTATTAGAAAACTGATTAGTTACTAGATTAGTGTGTCAAAATATACTACCTTTCAACTACCTGACAAACTTTCAAATTATTATATTCCTTTTTTTTTAAATTTTGAAGCTCTAGGATCAATTTCAAAGAGAGCAAAAGAGTTTGAACAATTGTGAGGAATGACACTTTACCTGGGCTATGCTTCTGCCCCCCTAATCTTGTGTATAAAAATATGAAGACTTCACAAATGGGAAGCTTAGTGCTTCAAATAAGGCAAAAGTGTATGTGACATTTAAATACTTACAACAATGGAGACATTAAGGGCAGAGTTATGCTTTTCTCAAATGTTTGTCTGAATGTCTCAGAGACTTACATGCATGGAGCAATTTGTTGGAATAGGAAATCTTTTTTGATCTGTAGTGTGCTTGCAAAGATGATTCCTAAAATATCATCTCTAGTACCATCTTTCTACCAAGTATGAGAAAAAACACGTGCAGATGTGTTGAAACTACCTGAATTTAGATCCTTTTCTCAGTGGTTTCCCCTTCTTAAGGAAAGTGGGCTACTAGAAATAATACCTATGTGGATTGAGAACTATAATATAATTTGTATATTTGAGGAATTAAAGACAGCTAGATATAAAAATACCTTGCCTCTGGGAAGTCAGAGCCATATTATAGGTGAGTTGGCATTTATTACCCCTGAGTTACAATCTCATGCAAGGGATGGGGTTCCGGCATCTGTAAACCTGGACTTCATGGAATGTAGCAGGATAAGGAAGAAAGAAAGACAGACTCAGAGGATAAGCCCGGAGGAGAGAAATGCTCTTGCACACAGGGTCTTCCTTATTGTGCCTTCACTTGGCATGGGTGCTGATTTTGCAGCCTTGAAGGAACACACAAGTGGAAAGTCTTCCAAGTATTTCAGCAAAAAGAAAGTACCCAACTTCCTGCTGGCATGGGAGTCTTAGACTTGATTTCCTTTTCAATTTGAGATTCTCCTTCACTCAAATGTGCTGGTTGATTGGATTATATGTACTGGGAGCTTAACAGATGATATAAAGTTCTGCTACACAGAAAACATGCAAGAAGCTTTCTGTGCATCTGCAACATGTCACAAAATACTTCTTGAATTGGACCAAATTGCACATATGTGTGGTGTGCTCAATGCATATTTACTGATTTGCTTGGATTTCGTCTAGATCCTGTTCAACTGTTAAGCATCCTTTGGAATTTCCTTTGATTTTTCTTTGTACTCAGCCAAACTGTTTTATTTGAGGCAAAATATAGTGGGGAATATTTCCACTTGCTTCTAACAAGGATGAAGAACCCCTCTGTGGACAGTCCGAGGCTGCTTGTGCAGCTTCCCAGGCCCAGAAGCCAGGCAGGCATCAGGCAGCTCAATTGAGTCCTCCCAGGCAGAGCAGAGTGGAGCAGACCAGCCCACCTGAAATCTTGAGACTCTGTGTTTAGGAAGAAAGGGTCCTCACTATAAAGAAGAATTTTCAGACTGCCAACTTCCCTCCCTCTCTTTCTTCTTTCCTGCAATAAAGTGCTTGCCTATTGCTGTTAAATGAAATGATGTCTTCCTTTTGCTCCTCGTTCTCCACAAGTTCCAGTCTCACAGAACAAACTGAAAGCCAAGACCTTCAATATGATCTTTGATTTTTTTCATTTTCCTATGTGCTTTTATATGTCAGAAATTCTAAGTCTACAGCCTAGGTTAGCTGTCAGTAGTCCCGTGATCTACCTCGAACTCAGGAGATAGATTCTTTCAATGGGATTTCAACTATGCAGGTTGTAAGAAGCCTGGAATGAATTCTGACCTCTTAATGCCAAATCTTCTCCAGCCTTCTTTGGATGCCAGTGATCTTGAACTGCTTCCAAAACTCACTGCTCAGAATTTAGAACTTGGAAAGGGCTTTCTTCTGATGTGGAAGGCTCAGACTTGGCAAAGGCCCCTGAGTCCAGGGTGGGTGGTACAATTTGGGGACTGAGCCATTTGGGTCATCTAGTTGGAAGCTGCTCCGGGCATAGGGTTTAGGGTTGTGTATCTTTTATAAGATTCTTCTTTTCTTCAACATTGTTTAAGCCAATACCCATTAGCTGAAGTAGTAAAATTAACCATCCTGACGAAACCCTTTTTATTGACTAGTATGCAACAAAAGTTTTTTTGAATGTTTGTTTTATAAGCTTGTAAAAGGATATCTTCATAATATTTACAAATGTCCACGGGTTGGATATCCATGGGCTGTAGTTGGAAGATTCCCAAAACTCCCTTGGGATAGTTCAATTCTGAAAGACCTGATTGTATACACTAAAGGATTTAGCTTTCCATTTCCTAGAAGATGTTTAAACCTTGCACTTTCCAAATAAGCATACACTCAGCTCTTATGTGGAAATATATATTTGATAAAGTAAAATCCCCCCCAAAAATTATAGCCTGTGGCTATCTTGACAAGAATGGGAAGAGAAGGAACTATAATATGAATATCGAATGGTATCCAACAACCCTGGTTGTTTCCTTGTTTTTTTCTTTTTCCCAGATGAAATTAGCACAAACAATACTGTTGGAAAGAGGAAAAGATGTAATTGCTAAATCCTTTCAAATATTAATTCAATGAATGAAAATTAAGTTAAGATGGCAACTCTATTGGAAACATGACAAAAACAGGATGTTAAAGAAAAAAATTGAGTGGAGTCAACAAGGTTACACATAAGTAACACCTTAACATTAATAGAAATCTATTTCCCATTTTGACCCTGGAACCTCTTCAATTAATTACTAAAATCTATTTACACAGCAACAAGATAAAAATCAATCTGATTCCTGGCTCTGTGTCTGTCTGACTGCCTGTCGAATATGAGGGACCAGAAAGATTCTTGGATCTCCTGCACCTCTGTTTTTGAAAAGCTCTCTTGCTCAAAGGCACAAGAAATGTGTCCTTGTCACTTTCCACCTCCAGGAGGGGACTGAATCCAGAATCTGTGAAGCCCCTGGGCATCAGGCCTCAGGGTGATGGCAGAGTCCACCAGGCAGGACACAAACATCAGAGAGAAGGAACTCCGGCACCTGGGGTGAGCCTTTGGTGCCTCAGGGTGATTAGAGAAGGGTACCCCTTTGAGCTGCAGGTTGCCATACTTCAAGCCCAAGTCTAGGCCCCATCCTGCCCTTAGTCCATGAGCAAGCTAGGCCTATGTACACAGACAAAAATTATCAAGATTATTATTATTTTATTATTAATATCAATTAAATCAATAAAAAAATAGTTAAGAATGACAAATTGAGGTCACTTAATTCTTGGGGAGGTAACCAAAGGTGACAGGCTCTTCTGAGGTCCATCTTTCACTGGAAGACCACTGAGGCAGGGAGGACCCAGACCTGCAGTACTTGCTACTCTAAGCTCTGCCTATCAGTGTGAGCACAACAACATGTCCAAACAGCAGATTCAGCGGGAAAATCATGGGTTACAGGACTCTAGGAAGATGTGGTTGAGAATGAGCAAAGGGGCTGTCTCCTATGGACTGGATTGTTTCCACTCTTACTTGAGCTTGTCCTACAGAAGGCAAATAAGGCTGCACATCTATGCACTTTTAATTTTCTTTCTCAAAAGAGGAAGCCAGAATGGCAAATGAGTAGAGAGAGATATAAGAGGGTTGAAGAGACAGTTAAAATTGCTTTGAGACCATCAACCAGTTATGTGTACAGGTTCACTCTCCCAAGCCTTTCTACATGCTATTTGAGCTAACAGAAATACCTCTCTCCCCTTTATGTCTGATAAGCTCCTACTCATCCTTCAAAATACATCTGAAGCATCGTCTCCCTATAGCATTAGCTATTCCATTTCTTTGCTATTTTCAAACATTATACATACATATTTTATTGCTGCACATCTTAGAGCATGAGGTCTTCAACGTTAGGTTGGGAGGGAGTTGAGACTCATTTACCTTTGTATCTCTTGTCCCTAGCTGGACACCCAGTACAAAAGCAGGTGCTCAATAAATATTTGTTGAATGAATAAATATACATATTTGAATGAGTGAATGAATAAATGAATGAATGGATGAATGAAGGAATAGGTCCTATAGCATGATTCAGATGCCGACTGTTTTGATGACTGGGTTATATTTTGAACACATCATCTTATTTAATTACCCTGACTTTGCCAAAGCCCTTAGAATTTTGTTTTACCTCTTTTGATGTTCCCTCAAAAAATTTTCGAATCTTCAAAAAGTCAACATGCCCTGTGCTTGGTCTGCTTTTATTGTTTAGTTTTTCACCAACATGATATTTTTGAGCTTTAAGTCACAGTTTTTGGCTACTATAATAGAATCAAATTCCTTAACACATGACAAAGAGGAGAAAATGGTTCATCAGAATCCTGAAGTGTTCATGTTCTCCAAGAGAGAATTACTCAGATATCCTAAATATAGGGCCACCCTTATGGTTATAGGGCTTACTGATGGCCATGAGTGCTATGTGGCTCCTGGATAAAGTTTAGACACACAGATCATCAGAAACTGGAAATATTCAAATTACTTATTCAAACCTCCTTATTTTACTGATGAGAAGACATACACAGAAAGATCACCTTAAATATAAGGTAACAAAATTGAGCCAGAACCAATATGGAGGCTTCTCGAGTTTGTTTTCCAAAAGCCAGCCACTGTCCAAGGAGATTTTATGCAGTCTGGACATTGACCTTCCAAATAGCCTTCTTCTTGCTGAGCTGGGCAGTGTTGTGCCAACGCATCTGCCAGCTCTCAGGGCTGAGAGGAGGAGGACTAAGCCATTACTTACTTGAAGGGTTTTTCTCCAGTGTGGGTTCGGATATGGTTGTTGAGGGTGGTGGCTCCGGCAAAGGCACGGCCACAGTAGCCGCACTTGAAAGGCCGGTCACTGGAGTGAGTGACTACGTGGTTCCTCAGTTCAGAAGGCTGGGAAAAGGACTGGGAGCAGTGGCCACATTGATAGGGTCTGAAACAAATAAAGACACTGCCTGGTCATTATTTTCCATGTTGATCAGCAGGAATCAGCATTATGAAACAAGGACCCAAAGCATTTTGGTGGTATTTCATACTTTTTTAAGACAGAACACAGAGTTTTGGCCTCTGGGTCCTCACTACTTCACTTGTTGCCACAGGAACAAAATTCACAGAGCTGTTGAGACACATGAATTCCCAAATGAATATTTCCTTCCAGTATTAATCATACCATTTCAAAATCCTCTACTTTCTTGTCTTTATCTCCCTGCAGGCAAATATTAGTGTATCTTTGTAAGCCTTAAAAACACAGGCTTCATTAAGCCAAACGTTACAAGAGAAAAATCTGTAATGTCTCTCATGCTTCCCTGGCATTCTTAACTTTTCCAAATGCTTTTAAATCAAATCAATTATCTAGTTTCATCTTTACAGTAACCCTCTAGGATAGGGAAAATGGCTGTTATTATCTCCGTCAGTTCAGAAAACTGAAAATAAACTGTCCTCGCAGGACATAAGCAGTTGATGCCAAGATCATTCTAGGGTTTGGATCTTATTCTAAGTGCCAAGTAAACATGTGGGCAAGTGGGCAAGTTGCACATGCATTTTAATAAATACTAACCTATCTTGGAATCTAGATATAGTACAAGTGCTGGTATCGCACAGGTGAACACAAATGTGCAGCATCCAGATGCATCTCTTTGTAAAAGAAATCCTGACTTCGACCTCCTAGCCCCCTTCCAAATATTTATCCATTGAGTCTTTTTCTTGAACCTCAGCTCCCCAGTTTAATCTGGTCACAAGGAATGATTTATAGCAGCAGAGAAATGACAGGATGTCACTATGCTTGCAGAAAGATGACTGTGATGCAAAAGCAAATGGAAGGAAGTTGTGACAAATACCTGATAATTAGCAAGATTATCAGAGCACATTCTTTCCAGCTCATGAGAAGTAAATCAATTTTTGGTTTTCATAAAATAGATTAAAATTCTGTCTTCTCCACAGAAGTTCTTCTGCTTACTTAAGCAGAATCTGGTGAGTGATATAAAACCTGAGGAGTTTTCCCTGTTCGAAGCTATTTCATATCATTCCTTGACAGGTCTCTAATTTGTTTATCAAAATTTTTGTTCAGAAAATTAATTTGTCATGAGGGATAGTAACAGCTCACTAAGCCCTGGTTTGTGGCGCAGACATTTCTGGCTACATTTAGAAAGCCAATAGCAAAAGCAGACTTAATTGCTCTACCTTTAGCAAATGCATAAACCCCAATGATCAGAAACCAAAATGAAGGACTAGGAGACAATGGTGACCGAGCATGTACAACAGTTCAATTAAGTGCAAAATAAAGTGTACCCTCTCATTTGTCAAGTGAAGTGCTTAATTGTGGCTACTTGCCTCACTGAACACAAATACTATTATTTTACCCGGCTTCAGCACACTGAACACTGATTGTAGAATTTTTTAGCTTGATTAATAGTCCAGGATTGGTCAATAACTCAATACTATACAATTTTAATTACTTACATTTAGAAATCTATCTAACTGCTCTCAAACAAGTTTCAAAGAAATATATAAGAGTCCTTGGTAAGGATTTTATCTATCTTGACAAATTACACATGCATTTTATTACAATTATAAAATGATGCTTTGAAAGCCATTAAAATTATATGCAGATAAAAATGTCCTGTCAAATCTGCTCTTGGTAGTAGATGCTAACCTTAAAATAATTTCTCAAAAGATAATTCTCTTAGGGATAAATTCTTTTAATGCTGCTGAAGATTATAAAGAAAATAATATATTAATATATGCTATGTCTACTGACAATTGATTTTTTCTAATAGTGAAGGAACCATTAACATTTATTAGCCTCTGGTTATCTATTTTTAATAGCTATCACTATAAACAATAAGCCACTAAATAAAACCAATTAATCTTTTCTTTTTTTTTTTCTAACTCTGCTGGCAAAAGTTGGGGTGATTTATTTTCCACAGTCAGAAGTCAATCCATCCTTTTTATGTTAATAGTCACAGTGGCAAAGATTTACACACAGAAGAGCAGAAATGACCACAGAGTGGCCTGGTTGAATTCTTATATCAAGGTAATACCAATGAAAAGGGAAAGGATTCTAAAACATCACCTTTACCCAGCACCAGCCTGAGAGGCATTTGCTAGGGAACCAGTGGCCTTTATAGCATCATTTTTAAAACCTTAAAGAAATGTAGCTTGACTGAAAAGAAGAGCCTAGAAAAAGAGAGATAGCAGAGGTAAGTCTGTTTCAGCCTCTAACTCCAACCAATTGTAGGACTTGGACAAGTCACTCAGTTTCTCTGACCTGTTTTCTCATCCATCTGGAAAGGGGAATGGACTGAGCTGGATGCTCTCACATCCCATCATGCCTTGCTCTTGCTTCTGGGTAACTGACCAACAAGCCTGGCCTGTGCATTGGTCTAACACTGCCTTACACAGGCATCACCAGATACAGCATCATCAACACAATCTCCATCTTGCATTGCAGGTACCAGTCAACTCACTGGATGGATGTGGAGCTTTCCGTGTGTGTGTGTGTGTGTGTGTGTGTGTGTGTACATGCTCACTAGAATATAGAAAAGTTTAAAGAACTGGCAACAAGTTGAGAATTTCAAGCAACAAGAAAGCCTAGTACCAACATGTAGGACCAAACCTTATTGTAATTAATTTCAACAAGCAAAGCTATAATCCTTCATTTTTAGGAACCTTGAATAAGACTTTAGATCATCTGGTCACATTCACCTTTGCACTGCCTGATTTCATGTAGAATTTAGAACTTAAGTATCTCCCTTGCTACTATAACAGAATGTCTCTTTCAGTCTAGAAATTTATAGAAAGTTAGCCTTCAGAAAATACAGAAGTTGCACATTTGGTAGACAATATTCCCTTCAACTTTCTTTTCCTATATTTCTAGCATTTCTTTTTAAATGAATAAAATAAAATGATCTACAAGAAAATGTGGAATATATACACAATGGAGCTTTATTCAGCCATAAAGAAGAATGAAATTATGGCATTTGCTGATAAATGGATGGAAACAGAGAAAATCACGCTAAGTGAAATAAGCCAGATTCAGAAATTCAAGAGTTGAATGTTTGCTCTCATATTTGGAAACTAGAGCAAAATAAGGAAAAGAATGCAGTGGGAGGGGATATCATAAAGATACAGGGAACATAAATCGAGTAGAAGAAGGAGAGCAAGAGGGAGGGAGAGAGGGAGGAAGGAAGGGAAAGAAAAATGGAATAAATTTAATAAAATCATGTTATATGCATATATAAATATAACACAGGAAATTTCACCTTTATGTATATGTTGAAAATTTCAACCAAAAATGAATAAATGAGTGAAAGGAAGATCAGTAGATTAGAGGAAGGAGAAGAGGAGGAGGAAGGAGGGGCTGAGGGGATCCAAGATTGAAATCATATTCCATACATGTATAATTTACTCAAAATGAACCCAATTACTATGCATAACTATAATGCTCTAATGAAAAATAAAATGATCACAAAGAGATTTTAAAATTTATTATGTGTCTAGGGTTTAATCTAAGGGCATAGGAATACATTCAGGACAGAACTAAGCTTTTAAAAGCTTAGAAAATATCACCACGTGGGAATCTCAGATCTTTTGGGACACTGGCCACAGGAGTTAAGACTATATGTGCATATTTAAATTAGCACACCCCATCTTCACACTTCCCAACTTAAAAAAGGAAGGTCTTTGACACAGAATTAGTTGCTATTACTTAGCTTTTTATTCTGGTGATCAAATTTCCAATGATTTTTGAAGGCTGGTAAAAAGATAAGGCTGATTTGGATATAATCAATCAACTCCAAAGTTCTGTCGCTCTTTCATGTATCCTCCCAGAAGATGCACACAGGACTGACATCCATGGGTGCTATGTTTAGCTTTACCTTTTTTTTTTTGTAGTTGTAAATGGATGTTTCATTTTTATGTGGTGCTAAGGATTGAACCCAGTGCTAAGCAAGTGCTCTGCCACTGAGCTACACCCCCAGCCCTAGTTTACTCTTTTCAACATCTCACATCATGGTATTTGGGAACCTCCTTTCTAAAGCACCTCATTCTGCCAATGCACATACAGCATTGCACTATTCTCAAAGCAAACAAAAAGGGATAACATTTTACAACCACAAGTGTATTGTGGCTTTGTTGCAACTTGAGACTTCTAGCCATATTGTCCAATGATGAAGAGTTCTAGGTCTAAGTTATTCCAGCACAGGAGCCATTAGCCACATGAAGTATTCAAGGACTTGAAATGTGGCAAGTACACCTGAATAACTGAAGTATTATTTTATTTATTTTTTATTAACTTAAATAGCCCCCTGTGTCTAGTTCCGACACATAAATATCGAGCTTCAAGAAAAAACTAGAAAGTGTTCCATACTCAATGAAAAAAAAAAAAAGAAAGAAGAAGACTGAATAGCAAAGTGTAGTTGGATTTAGTTAGCATATATCAATGCTAGTAAATTTTTAAGCAGAAAGAAAGCAGCGAGATGATTTTGCACATCCCCTGGCATTCTCTGTCACTGGCAGCTTCTCTGCCAAAGATTACGCCAGTAAAATGTGCAATTCATTTGCTTTTGAGTCTGTAATTGGTTTAGTGTACACATAGGAAAAGGATGAAACATTTAACAAAATTAAGTGTGGTTTGGTTTAAAATTATTAATCCTTCTTTGATTTTTCTTTTATGGAATGAAAGCCTCCAGGACAAAAGTTATTCAGTTGGAGCTACATTCTCTCCTTGCTCCAAGTCAGCCAGCTGAAGTGCAAATCTCCCAAGACTTCAAAGGGACCCTGCTTAAGTCACTGCTGGCTGGGGGAAGTAGGAAGAGAACTTAGCTCTCTATAAGGAGAAGATTCAGAAAAGTGACAGAGTGCAGAACCAAAGGGTTTGCTGAACACAGAAAACCAGGAAAAAGATAACCTTCACTTGGGTGGGGGAGGGGCAGAAAGAAACAGAGGAAGACAAGAGCATTGATACATTCCAAGAAACTATTATGGTGATGGATTGTCTCCAGGCTCCTCCCACCAAACAGCACCTTTTAAAGCCATGTCCCTTCTGGCACCATCACATCCAATTACAAACAGTGATATTTAAACACAAATGTGAGTAGCTGATAGAGTACCCAGGGGGCTGAAGGCAGACTTTCCCCTCGTGGCATAAACAATCAAAAGGGAGAGAGAAAATGAGAAAAGATGCAAAATAAAGAAGCAGTATAAAGACAGTTTTCTGTGACAAATACAAGAGAACATTTTCATCAGAAAATAATCCACTGTGAATGAAGGTTTTGCTTACCCCTTTCTGAAGACCCCTCAACTCCCCAACGCCCCAATGGGACTGTTGAGAGTTTCTGCAGCAGAAAAACAGAAGAGAAGAGGGATTTCCAACTCCTGATTCAAGCAAAAGTGAATCAAGCTGCCCTGGCTACACAATTAACTTATGCAAAAACTCGAATGTTTATGAAGTCTTTAAATAAAATCTTGGTTGATCTAGATTCCAATAGCTTCTACCCTTTGAATTCGTCCAGAGAAAAATAAAAGTAGCCTGAGAAAAAGAAGAGATTTTTTTGTTTTTTCTTTTTTATTGTTGTTACTAACAGGGGGGAAAAAATCAAGAAATAGCAATTCCATGGCTCTGAGACCCCCACAGATGTATTTATCTTTAAGGGTGATTCCTGTGTTACCAGGTCACCCACAGGTTCTTTCTGCATTCAATGTGAATAACTCAGTGGTAGAAAATGGCAATGCTGATATTGCTGGGTACTCACAGATCTATTTCCTTTCAATCAAGGTATAGTTGATACCTGACATGAAAAAGCTTATGAATATAGACACACCAAGTGTCTTTGATAAAGGTTCAACTGTCTGAGGTTTTGTGGCCAAATATTCAATCTCTTGAGTGAAAAAAAAAATCTTTTGTACTTCAGATTCAGGAGCCTGTTTCAAACTTGGACCATTTTGAAACTCTAACCTGTTTACCTTCTGATTTTTCTTCTGTGTCTCCCTTTCTTGCCTTTGGTTCTAACAAGATTTTCCAATCAAAGTAAAAGCATTCAGTTTTTCAAACATAAGGGGAATGATTTCTGATTGTTTAACTTTTTCACTGGACAGCTGGCACTCCATCCATAGATGTGGATCCAGCATACATGGATTCAACCAACTGCAGACCGAAAACATTTAGGGGAAAAAATGTGCCTGTACTAAACATGTAGACTTTTTTCTTGTCATTATTTCTAAACAATACAAAATAACAATTATTTACATGACATTTACATTGTATGAAGCGTTATAACAATCTAGAGATTATTTAAAGTGTAGATAAATAAGGTTGTGCATAGGTTATATGCAAATTCTATAGCATTTTATATGAAGAACTTGAGCATGCACAGATTTGGGTGTCTACCATGGGGTGAGGGGCTCCTGGAACCAATCCCCTAGACCCTGAAGGACAACTGCAAATGGATGAATGGGCACAAACTTCCAAAGACTAAAGCTCAGTTAAATTTCAGAGTCAACCAACAAAGAATATATATAAATATATATATATATATATATATATATATATATATATATATATATATTCAGCAATTGGAAGCTTCCATGCATATAACAGATAAGTTTCCAAATTTAGCAACTATGATGAACAAATCTGATGTTCCATTGTGGTTCTGTGCATTTCTCCTATTTAGCAATTTACTGATGTGGTTAAGAATTATGGAGAGTATTTCTTACTTCCAAATTTTCTGGTACCAAGACAGCATCCTAGGTCTGGAATAGAAAATGGCTATTCTAGTCCTACTGTCTAAAAGCAAATTTGTAGCTAAAATGAAATTAGTAGATCAAAGTGCCTGGGTATTTCCCTCTACTTCTTCTTATTTCCTATAATCAACTCAGATGTGATGAACTCAGATTCCGTTTATCTTCCCCATTGTTATCAAGAAACATAGTACTGATGTTTAGAGTTATTATATTCTTTATTTTAATTTATTCATGAATGATGTCATCCACCTCTCGAGTCTTCACCAGCAAAATACAGGGAAGGGAGAAGTGGGAACCCATTTCCTGAATAACTTGATTCCTTGTCATTAATATCAATGACAACACCCATTACTCCCCCAAATCTGAAAGGCTGGTCACTGCAAACTTGGGTATCTGAGTCGAATAAACCCATTACAATCTATCACAGGATGGGAGTCTCACACCATCTAGGTTTTCCCCAATAACTCTAAATTAGCTAAGAATCAGCATTTACCCAACAATCTCTCATGTAGGTATATCTTGTATCATCTTATACATATAAGCTAAATTTTTAGGTATTTTCTGATAGCTTTTATGTATATGTTATAAATTATGACCCATTATTTTACATGACAAGCTTCATGAAGATTTAAATCATAATACATGCATGATTTTCCAAATATAACTGGGTCAGACAAAACAGTCTATTTCAGTATATTTCTGTTAACCTTAAAATAATTTTATTGCTTTTATGACATTTGCCACAAAATCATACCAGTTCCAATGTCCAGAAACTTTCAATTATTGTTTCATTTTACCTAGTACACTCAGTTACTAAGACTACAACAAATCTTTGCAAATTACAGTTCCATACATTTGAACTCAATTTGAAAAGCTAGTTTATGAGAAGATTTTAATGCATCTTTTGTATTTTAATTAAAATCACGAAAGTGCTTTGCAAAACTTAGAATAGATGTATCTTGAAGCTATTTGCAAGAAAGGTAAACTTAAAAAAATAATTCTTTCTGAATAAGGAAATGATTTTCAAACTTTTGTATCACCTCTAGAGCCAAAAGCACTAAGATATACAAGTCTATTGAAACCTTTACTAAGACTGTTGTCTTCATAGCCCTAATTACATGTTTCAGCATTAATTAGTTACAGCAAGGCTTAATGTCAAGAAAGTGGTTTCTAGAATGGCACAAAAAATGTATACACCTGTAAATGTGCATATGTATCCTGAAACTATTATTTTAGAATATATCTATCCCTTCCACCACACCTTCATCTTTACCCAGGAACACTTGGATTTTTCCAGGAACACTGTTGCATCCTGCAGAGCTGGAGTGAAGAACTAAGCATATGTTATTAGGCAAAGAGAGTTAAGTGGATTGCTTAATTAAGGTTAATCAGTGTCAAAGTTAAGAAAATAATGCAGAAATCCTGCTTCCAAGACTCCTAGATCCAAAAATTATTTTCTGCTTTTATATTCAAAGCACATTTTCAATGCCATACTTAGATATTTTGGTTTTAATCAAGTTTTCATATGACATGAAGGAGAGATAAAACACCAGCAATCCTTTCTTATTGAATTAATTTGATTTTTGTCTTTTGCACTCCCAGCTATCAAGACTGTCGAATAAACCAGTTTTGATTCATAAATAATAGTTCCATTATATCTACTGTGCCACTCGTCAGAGTACCTGAAATTTTAATTCACTTGTTCAGCTAAATTTCATCCTCAGTTCATGGCCATAAAATTCTTTATTGACAAACTTTCAAACCAACTTTGACTCTGAGGTATCTAGTCAACATTTTTCTTCTGTGTGGATATTAGTTTATTGAATAAGTGGCATCTGTTTTCCTCCACATCACTAGCAGAGCAGGTATTTCCTTTTGACAGCTTTGCAGGATTTATGGGTTTGCATGCTCCGAAGAAAAATAGTACTAAGCAAAAAATTCCAATTCATTACCTCTTAGTACTTAATTAAGTTCATACCCACAGCACACTGGAGGTGAACTCTGAAACGACTGTGACAGCCGCAGAGCAGCCAGCTATATTATCTTTGGAAGACAGAGAGGATTCTAATTATCCTGACCTCATTTTTCCACCTATCATATTCATAAATGTTCCTTGTATTTTGCTCCCTTTTAAACTTGGACAGAACTGTTTGGATAGCAAGTGCTGATTTCTCTCTGCAGCCACCAACCTGTCTGTTCAGCCCATATAAACCAGAGAGGCAGTGGCCTAACATTACTCTCCAACTTTCCTGAATGCAGGCACCTCTTAGCACAGGGTTTCCCCCCAAAGTGTGGCGGGAGGCGGTGACTGGTAGCTGGCAGCAAGGCAAGCAGCGGGTCTCACTAAGCAAACACAGCATGAGCAGTGGGAGTCAGGGTTACCTGTCCGGGTTCTGCGTGCACACGTGCATCTGGAGGAGGATCCGCTGCGTGAAAGTCTTAAAGCACTGCCCGCATTTCCAGAGATGCCAGTCACTGAACTCCGAGTGGAGCTGGCTTGTGGAAGTCGGGCTGGCGAGGACCCGCTGGTTTTTCACGTTGATTTGGTTAAATCCTGATTCAATGGGCCCAGACTTATCCAGGAGGGAGAAGTTCCTGCTGCACGGAGTCTGTGGGAATACCACGGAGCGTTGCTGGGTGGCGGGGGAGAGTTTGCTGCTCTTGTTGAAGGGCTGCAGGGTGTCTTGTCGGCACATGGCTTCCATTACAGTTGAAGGGACGTTTACTGGGAGAACAGCAATAGTTTTAGAAGATCAGTTTTACTAGCCCTTAAAATAAACACAATAACACATACTTGAAAAGGTTGTATAAATGGACATTTTGGAATTTAAATGTTAAAATTGGCATTTTAAAATTTAATTTAGAATTTTGTGGGTTCTCCCCCAAAAAAATCAACATAGTAACAGACAATTGGGGGGGGAAACATTATATTCACAAATTAATAGCTCATCTATTGCCTGTTTGTTGAGCAACTACCACATATTCAGAATAGTTCTTAACACCGTCTTTGCTTTCAGAGTTCACTTATGACTTGAGACATCTAAGACTCCATTAGGAGGTTCCACCTGCACCCTGTTTCCTGGCAGTTAACTGGGAGGCACAGCAAAAAAGAGGAACTGAGCACGGGGCTGCCCAGAGGGAGTGCCTTGAGCTGTACTGAGAGGGTGGATTTGGCTGGAGTAGGTGAAGTATGTCAGCCCAGAATAGGTATTCAGAAAAAGCTGGTTGAAGAGATAAAGGAAAGAAGATGAAAGACTCTTGAAGACAGGAGAGGTCTAGCATTTTGATGGACTAGTGATCGAGACAGGCTGACCTAACAGACACAGATTTCTGGACAGTGTGGGAATAAGTGTTGGGGGGGGGGGCAAGAAACAGGGAGGGGGTGAACAGAACCCAAAGGGCCTTGGAAGTCCAAATAAATAATTAAAGAAATATAAACTTTAGGCAGAAGAAATAGACATAGGCTGCTTCTGAGCAGATGAATAACAAGAAAAAAAAATCCCAACTCTGTTCAAGGAGGGCCTGAGAGAGGCAATGATTGACAGGCGAATACAGGGAATGGGAGGCAACAGAGGTGCTTGGGCTTTGGAATCAGAAAACCGAGGGTCAAACGATGACTCTGCCTTCTATTAGCCTGGTGATCTCAGGCAAGTTATTCAAGGACCCTGTGCCCCAATTTGCCCTTCTTTAAAATGAGAACCGTGGTAGTAATAATCCTAAAAATAATAGCAGCATAGCTTAGTGGTTAAGATGGCCTAGATTTTAACTCTGCTATTTACCGCCTGTGACTGTGAGTAAGTATGGAACATCAAAATCCACAATTTAGTCCTTGGTAGAATGTAAAATGGCCACTTTAAAGACCAAATGAGACAGTGCATAAATGGCATTTAAAGAGCTTGACCTATGGTTGACACTCAATAGCAATGGAGCTCCAGGAGCCCTGGTTCCTCATCTTTCAGCCTCTCCTTATGAGGATGAAGTGTGATAATGAGAGCACACATCACAGAGCCTGACAGCAATAGTATCCATTCTCCTTATAATAGAAGAAGAGGCTAGAATGAAGGGAATGGGTAGGGTAGTGGCAGTGGAAATGGAGGAAGAACCAGAAATAAGAAATATTTTTGATGAGGGGATCTAATATACTTTAAATGTATTGTTCTTTTCTAAAAATTGTAATATTTATCAAGTATTCACTGATCAATCCATAGGTCCCAAGGTGATTAGAACCTACACAATAGATTATTATTTTTTAAAAGTAACTACCATGTCAAATAATGTACTTTTTGTCACTTCAGGGGTAAGAGATTAAAGGTTATAGGGTGGTCAAAAGAATAGAATTAGAGACCAAAATTTTTTTAAAGGATGATTGGCAAAAAGGTTGGCGATGTCAAGTCATAAAACCATGTAAAATTCTTCCATTGGCCACTGGCTCATGGAAGAAAACACCAACAGGGAGTTCTCATCCTGCCCAACCCAGGCAATGGCTGAGCTTCCTAAATCATGAAGACTCAATATCCTCAACCATAAAAAGAGAACAGTGGAGGACTGTGCCGGCCGGGAGGCTCTGTGCTTGATGGGGCAGGCAGATGCAGAATGTGGGGACAGAGAGGGGTGGGTGTGCTGCCTCAGAATTCTTTATCTTAGAGCATTCTGCAGAATCAAGTGTGCTCAATGAATCCAACAGAAGGAACAGCCCTTGTCTACAGGGTTCTCAGCTCAGCCCATCTTGTCTTCGGAAGAAAAAATAAAGAAGAGACTCGCATACTTGGAAAAACCTGGAGTAGGTAGAATCTGCTGTTCTTGACCCTGGATACTGCTCATTAGACTCACACAGGAGTATTTTAAAAACTTAAATCAGTCTCTCAATAGGGCCTAAGCATCTACATTTTTAAAAGTTCCCCAGGTGATTCTCAAATGAAATCAGAGAATCACTGATCTAATCCTGTCCTTTCTCATTACAAATGACAAAAACCGAATCTCAAGAATGTCTGTTAAATTTGCTCAGAATCACACACGCGGGGATACATGAAGGCTGGAAGTTTTTAGCTTCCTGACTTCCAGGGAATTTTGTTTCTGAGAACACATCTGTATCATCTGCTTATTAGCTGTGTTCAAAAATACAAAGAATGTTTTACAGGTAGTAAAGTATGTGTGTGTGTGTGTGTGTTTTTGTGTGTATGTGTGTATCAAATACATCAAGTCATATGTAATATGAACATAAAAGTTGTATGTACAGCTAAATATTCCTATATATGTATTTTTGTGTATATGCCTATATTTTAAATATAAATATTTATCATTTGACCCTCTGAGGCAAAAATTTATTATCAATATGGAATCTGTGGACATTTCTTGGACTTTTAAGAATCTTTTATTGCACACAGATTGTTACTTTTAAAATAGGCGCTGAAAGATAAGGAGGAATGTTTTGCCATGTTTGGGCCTGTTTTTAATAAAAAAATAAATAAAAACAGCAGCATTGTCAGAGATCAGGGTGGAACCCATATTGTTTAGCCCTTTCATAAGTGATCTGGAAGGGGCAAAGCACAGGGAAACCCACAAGTCTTCAGGCGACACTAAGTTTTTGCAGGCCAGGAAATTTCTGACTAGCAGGAAGGAATGCACAGGGGAAGACGGCAGAATAAAGATGTCATCAACATGCCAGAGAGCAGGCAAAACTGGCTAGAAGCTTCACTGTTAGAAAGAGGAATATAATGCCTTTGGGGAAAGTAATTCAAAGAGTAAAAAGTATAGATGATAGATTCTGGCTACCCACTTATGCTTCTAGAAAGTAACCTAATCTGTTAATTTTTTTAAATTGCTAAGATCACATAATATTTATACAGAAACAAAAGAAGTTGTGGGCCAATGATTTTTATAAATTTAATGAACAGTGTCAAATGGTAATAAAGAAAGATTTATGTATTTAAAAGTTTGTGTAATAATTGGGGTTTATGGGATCTGAGCTAATGATATACAGTAAATAGCATTTAGACAATAAAAAATGGGGATGGTTGGAGTAAAATTATTCTCCATTTTATCATTTTCTTTTCCAGAACACCCCATAACAAGTATAAAATGCTTTCCAGCAACAGGTAGCAATAGTTGCACCCTGTGTTCCTCTTTGAGCATGGCACTTTACTTATGAATAAATACAGTCCTACCAAATATATAATTTTTTAGAAGTAATGATAAGAATGAATGATTTTTAGAAAAGCAGCCATATTTGATTCCTAAGCTGTCCTATAGAGTTTCTGCACACTTCCACAAGATGCTGTAAATCTAAAAAGATTTTTGTTTTGCTTTAAAAAAAAAAAAAGAGAGAGAAAGCAAAACTTTTCAGAAGATACAGATCATCCTTCCTAAATATCACCTCTCTGGTGTGACAAATCCAAAGTATTAACCAGATTATTAATTATCAGAAAGGGAACAGGAATCAACCAGAAAACTCCCAAACTCAAGAAAGACGATACAGACAAAGGCCAGAGGTGGTAACAAACATGAAAAGATGAAGAGGCCTCTGCATGCAGTGATACTGAGCTAGTAAATCTCTTCACCCTATAAAGACAAAGATGAAGAAAGAGAATACAAAGCCTTGAAGGATACAGCCAAGGAAAAGCCTGAACTCATCAAATATGGACAGTAAAGACATTGGGAGAGCACTGAGCATCTATTACATGTCTTACATGGTCATAGGTGTGGAAGATGGGGGCAGGAGGGCTCTCAGTCCCTGCCCTCCTGGCACTGAAACACTAGTGGGAGAGACAGATATTAAACAGATAAACTCAATTTCATCAAATCTAAAATTCCATTAATCACACCATTAGAACTGTAAGTCACCATTCATTGGCAAGATACCTGCCAGTTTCAGAAAGATGAAAACATGAAACACATGAATTTTAGAGTTGACAAAATACAGTCACCACAAGTGTGAAAAGTGCTCTAAGAAAGAAAGGAGTGCCAGGAAATCATATATGAGAGAAGGCTAATCTTAGGGTATGAGAGAATCTGAGTCCTGACAAGTGCCCAGGTGTCAGGGAGATGGGAGGAGGGGAAGCAAGCAATACAAGAGAAAGAACACTAGCAGCTTTGCCACAGAGCCATGCTGAGGGGGAGGAAATCCAGGGCCCTGAAACTGAAAGAAGAACAATGTGGCCAGAGAGGGAAGAGGAGATGGGCTGTAGCTGGGGCCCATTTCCCATGTCTGTGCAAGTTGAACAGGGAATGGAAACAAGACATGGGGTGGTCGCAGGCAGTTCACACAACAGGAGGAATAACATCTACAGCCAACTGAATACAGCGGGCATACTAAAGATCTTTGGATTCTAATTTATGTAACACTACGTGGGTCATAAACAAAATCTCTCTGGAGATTCCATGAGGCCCAAAGGATAACATATTAAAGAACTGAGTATTCAGCATAAGAGTCATAGCAAGCTGAAAACTAGTTTTGAGCTAAGGATGTGAAAACATCAGATTTATGCTTTCTATGCTGATAAACGAAAAAGTAAGCTTCAGAACAATGTACACAGCATGTTACTGTTTGTATATAAAAATGTGTGTGTGAGGGGGTGAGAACCAGAGAAAGAAAGGGAGAATATGCTTAGATGTCTGAATGGACAAAAATTATCTCTGAAAAAAAAATAGCTAAGAACCTGTCAAGGCCACCGATTGTCTCTTGCAAGGAGACTTGCATGTCCATGGTACTTTCTGGACTTTGATCTA